TTCCTGAGTTTTCTTAGCTGAGGATAAGGTGGATATATCTTACTTCTATATTTACTGAGCTTTCAACAACTCCAGAATAGCAAACAAAGGCCTTCTTTACTATTAGTATCATCATGAGTCTACCAGGAGGGTATCTCAGTATTCTTATTTAATCTGTGTACAAAGAACTATAAACATTTCTCATTATGAATAAGGAAGTAATGTGATGTCAAAACCCAGAATTTATTATGCAATTACTAATTACAAAGTATTCTGACTTCACAAGACAGATACAGGTATGTTTGAGATTTTAGCAGTTGTTTAATTTGAAGTTACAGGATTGCCAATGGCTGGTTTGGATCTTACGCTGACATTATTACTAATCCTGAGTAGTTTGCTTCATCAGTATTTCCATTAATTTCTGATATCCAACATGATGAGAGGTCTGCTCCTTAGCAAGTACGAACATTAGCCTTAAATTATGTACTTAAATTCACAGACATGTCAAATTGTGTAAAATGCAATGCATGCTGTAGGTAGTTCTGCCCAGTCAAATAAATGTCAAGTAAATGTGGCCTAAACCCCTGATGGACTGGGACAGCATTTTTTTTTATCATGTCCTCTTCCTTTTTAGTCCCTCCTGAATTCTGCTAACTACAAATCTCTAGGTGTAGCAGAAAGGAAAATGTGTAAGGCTAAATTTAGAATTAACTTAAAAGATACAGTAAAGAATTGCAAACATGCTGTTTGGTAACTCACAGCCAGTTGTGCAAGGCATCACTTACCACGACAAAATCAATCTGAATTTAATACAAACCACATTTGTACTTCTTACTGCTTACTTATTTGTGTCATTTAAAGTTTTAGTCCCAGAGATCTGCTAATGCACCTGTCTTATCTGAAAGACACCTCAAGATTCAGTTAAGTTCAGACAAGTAGGAATATTATGAAAATATCTTCTCAAATACACACTTTTCAGCTGTGTATAGGCAGGGAACAAAGTTAGCTGTTCTGAAAATCTAGTTGTGTCACAATCACAATTGTGATACAATTGTCTCTTCAATTAATATAAAAGAGCAAACATTCTCCTTTCTGCTACACCTACAGATTTGTAGTTAGCAGAGTTCAGGAGAGACTAAAAAGAGCAATCACAATTGCTTCTTCCCTTCCTTCTGCATTAAAAATCTCTCTGTCATATCCTTAGGTGTTTTTTTATTTTTCCCTACCCCACAGGTAGTCAAGTTCTTTGGAGCAATCTGAAATAGCTGCTTTCTCTACCTTGATGAGAAGGAGCTGAAACCATGGATGGATAGAAGAGAGTTGTGTTCAGGAAAGGTTTGTAAACTTTTTGTTTAATCCTGATCCTCCCATTTCAGCTGCAAAGAGAGACGGTGTTATCTGGTGCTGTTAATAATGTAGAGTGATCTAAACATGTTTTGAACACCTCACTTTTTTGAAGAAGCTTAAACTTCTTAGTTTAGCATTATGTGTAATCTGGTCTCTAAATATTGGATGTGACTGGATTTTCAAGTGTGTTGTTACTGTTCTGGAATGCTGTGCAGTTGCTGCACAGCAGCAATGCTGTGCTTCTCCAGTTTAAAAAAAACCCAATTATCTGGATATGCCAGAAGGTATGAAACTGTCTGAACTCTTTAAGTTTCTAAGATGTAAAAGGTACAAATACTAAGATGAAACCGATGCCTCCTAAAAATGTGAGTCAGTTCACTAGCCAAAGGCTGTATGTAGTGAATCTGTAGAATATATGTATTTCCAGAAGTGTGTGTGCACATGGCAGTGTATATATATGTCCAGAGCCACAAGTTGGTCGGCATTTTCATGGAAAAAAATTCTGCATCTTTTCTGTCCATACCAGTAAGCATAGGTTGGTTGAAGAATATCAACCAGACTGAGACTGGAGATGAAGACTATCTCTATAACTATTTGAGTATAGCATGTTGAATGCTTATAAAATCTACCTATAGATTAAGCCATGGAACCATAAAAAGTAAATGTTGCTTGAGTATCTCTTCATATTCTCAGTTCAATCATAACTGGAATTTTAAGGCAGACCATAACTTAAAAATTCTTACACTGAAGTGTATCTTGTTCTGCAAGTCTCAGTGATTTTTCAACATCATTACTCCAGACTAAAGTACTCCCCAGTGTATGGGGAGAGAGATCTGGTCTCTGATGTTTAGGACATAGTATATTGGAAATGTAATGTGTTTGCAATTTTAATTTTTTAATTATTTAAAATGGGAAGCATGACTTATAGCTTACTATAAAATTCTGAACAACTTAGCAAAGAAAGATGTGACAGTTTTTTCTTCTCTTTAATCCATTTTCTTTTTCCCCTCTGAATAAACTTCCTCCCTTCTTTCTCCTTATACACACTGAGTTTTTAATGGTTCCTGCAACCCTTCTCTTGAAAAATTGGAGAGAGCTGGAGTTGTGTATGCAAAATATACAGCTTGCTTTTCTTATAATCAGGCTTTATTTCATGTGTCTGCATCATGATGGTTATGACAGAAATACTGTTGTGGCAAGAATATTGACTGCAGATTTTTAGTGGGATCTCCCTTCTGTGCTCGATTCATGTAGATTCAATTCTCGGTGAACTTCTACAGTAACTGTTGTACTTGGATATTGCATTGTTTTCCCTTAGCTTGACAGTAGTTGGCAAGAAATTATTATAGATTTCAGTAGCAAATAGCTGTGGCAAAAACATTTCTGCAGCAGAGATTCAGTAGCTAGCAATATAATAGGGAAATTCAGATATGATTTAATAACCTTGAGATTTTACTGAGACAGATCTTTCATTCCAGAGCTAGTTTCTGTATCAAAAGCATGGTTAAAAACTATAGTTTCTCTCTATAGTCTGATCCCAAATTTCTGGCTTAAATTTCAGACCTAACCACAACACACCACAAAACTGCCTAAACAGAAAGTCTGAGAAATGTAAAAGGGGGAATTTCTGGCAACCAGAGAGCTATGCATGAGCATTTACTGGGTGCTCCAGCAAAATCAAGACCCTAAAGGTCACTGTAGCCAGCCTAATTAAAAGAATTCGCCATGTATCAGTGGTGATGAGAACCAAAGAGTCCTTAAGGTATCTTCTTCCTCCTTGCTTTCTGTTCTGTGTATACCCTGCTTAGGATTCAGCCTTCATGGTTAACTACACACACGAGAATGCACAAAAGAATATCCCAGTGAGAAAGTGAATATCCTAAATGTGGACTTATATAAGCAGTGTACAGAGATGGACAGAAATTGTGTTCTCCCATATGTAAAATGAGGTAATAAAATGATTACATAAATTAATGTAGCTTGAGCGATAACATAATGTAAGATTGTTACCTACCTTAAGTTCTCTAAAAAAGATGCTACTCCTAGCCCACTCAACGATAGAGAAGAGGGTTTGGTCAGCCATTTTGCACATAAGCCCAAATGTGTTGAGTTTCTCGTGTTTGCTTCTGTTGGCTTGCTCTTGCTGCAGATATGCCATGATCTTAGCTTGGACTTGTGGCTCATCTGGCTCACATTTCAGGAGTTCCAATATCAGATGTGGAATACTTGCGGGTGAGCTTGTTTGATAACTATCCATGTATGAGTAGCCCATTATCGACTCTGGGGAGCTAGTGTAAGGGTCGGGGTACTCGGACTTGATAGCACGGCTTGGAAAATGGCCGTAGGTTTGGTAACCTTGCAAGCTACCATGGGGCGGCATTGTCATACTAATTGGAGAGGTTACAAAGGGGCTTCTGTCATAGTCTGTAGGAGGCAAGGCAGTATGGTTCAGAGGTAGGCCTTTGGAGGCAGAATGGATGTTCTGGATTGCAGAGGATATTGTCAGGTCAGTCGGCATTGCTTGGATCACCTGAGTCATGGCTTCCAGTTTAAGTCCATTTGCTCGGATGAGAGCTTTCTTCTGCTGCTTCAATGCCCTGTCCCTCTTGTACATTGGTCCAAACTTGTTGCGGCCGCCACGCATTCGGTCAGCTCGCACAGCTGTCAGGGGAGAGGAGGAAGTAAATTATAATTAAAACTTGGAATCAATATTCCTTAATAAAATATACTTAGTTCAGAGCAGAAATGTAATTTTTTTTTTTAAAGTAGCACTTTTATTCCTAAAGAAAAACATTTATTTTGACCTAACAAATGTGACCTTTTTCTGCATATATTACTAACAGAAAGACTTCTGTTTACATTGATTAGGACACAGGGACAAACACAATGGTTGGCTAAAGGAATTTCACACCTGCTATGGGATCATGTGGAGATCTCAGTGTATGTTTGGTTTTATGTCAGGCTACTATATCATTAAGAAACAAGGACTGATGTCCAGAATTTCTGAGACATACCCAGTGAACCACACTGTCTCATTATAATCATTCCATTACTGCCTTCCACTGCAGCAAAACATATGAAATGTAAATTGTGAAATGTTCAGTAGTCACAAAGCAGAATGCATTTTTCTTGGCAAAAAGGAAATATTTCCTTTTGATGATTCTGTTCAGGTTGGTGTCAAAACTTTCAGATTTCTAGTTAACTGAACAGCTCTACAGAAATGTTTAGCTGCAGCTGGAATGTGCAGAGAGAAAGCTGTCAGCTCGCTGCCTTCCACACAGAAGGTAGAAGTGAAACAGAAACTATTGACACTGTTCTGGCTTGTAATATCTCTGGAATTAGAAATAATTAAAACAAATCCACCTCAACAGCTGCCTTGGGAGTCATACTGGTGGTCTCTGTCACAGCAGTGTCTGTCACCATGGTATACATGTAATGGACTAGTGAGGAGCTCTCACCAGGCCCACCTTGCCCAACGGCAATTAGATTGAAAGAGGAACCTTTGACAGCCTGGTGACATGTTGAGACTGCTGAGATTGCTGGAGGTTAAGTTCTTGAGCTTTTTATCTTAGGGATTAGTAGAACATTAAAAATTTATTATGAATGCTACATACGCATAATACTGTACATTATCATAAGGACTTGAACGTTTAATGATTATTTTTTTTTTTGGTCCATGGTAAATTGTGAACTATAAGGCTATATGTATTGCTATCAGGGAAATGCACATATAAAAGTAACAAGTATTTACAATTATGGAAGCATGTGTTCTTCCAGTTTTCTAAAAGAAAAGAAGTATGGATGTGTGGATAAAGAAGCTAAAGTACGTTTTCTTGAGTGTCTTTAAAACTATGGGCACTCTCCTCAAATCTGTAGTAAAAATGCTGCTGCTAATATTGCTGTTGAATGGTGATTTTGAGAAAAATGCAGGAAATAAAAAATTAAATTACCACTCTGGTAAGTTTAATGAACTTTAAATCTGTATAAATAGCCTCCTTCCAGGTATTCTACAACCAAAAACTGTGAGCCAAATTGGATTAGCAAGCGCTTTTGTATAATGCCTACAGAAATTAAGGTGAACTGCATGTGACCACAGAAGACAAAAGTTGGTCCTCTATCATTGTCAGCAATTGAGAGGAGTTAGAAGTAGGAGTAGATAAATGTATTTTATCCTTATTCTTAACGTCAACAATGAGAACAGGGTTACAAATATCCTGTTATCATACTATTAGGATTTGGAAGAGCATGCAGTGACTCAGGATGTTTAGTGCAGTGTGTCAGTGCTAGCTCAGTCCTGTGGGCAAACAGAGTAGTATTGAATCCATCAGACTGCAGGAGCCTGATTTTTTTTCTGTTTATCTTCAGTTTTATCAACAGCTTTCCTCTGCCAGACTCAGGTGATTGGGTCTTATCCTTTATGGTTCCCTTTATGGTTTATGGTTTCCCTTCTTGGCCTGATTTTTCCTGGTAAAGTGTCCAGGGTGAATGTCATTTCAGTACAATTGTAAGAATAAGGAATTTAGGAGCTTGTCCTTGGTCAAGCAGAAATGTCATTTGCTGTGAAACAGGAATTTTAGTATTTTATATATCAAAGTTAGAATGAACCCTGCATGATTCCGAAATTTGAGTTGATGATAATTTTGCAGTTTGTTATCTCAAAGGGTATTGTGTATTGTTCTTTGTACAGGAGAAAGGTGCGATTAACTTAAAAAGTATACTTCCAAATGCCTTATTCTCTTTCATTTCTAATAGCATCTCAGGTGTAGCATCACAAAAATACAGGACACAGCTTTAGAGATTATGTTTCCTTAATCTCAAAGGCAAGTCGGTGTCAGAAAAACCCTAATTCTATCTGCTTCTGTTTTCTGCCTTTTTTTCAGAAGAAAATATATAACAAACAACCCTATGTAAAATACAAATAAAATCAGATAATTCTCCATAGCAATTACTTTTTTTTTTTCTAATCTGGACATTTCTGACTTATTTAATCTAAATTAAATCTTTTTAAAAAGCTATAAAACTCTTCTATCTAGACCCATTAATTTACAGACTTTAAAATACTGAAACAGCAAATTATATACATATATGAAAAAATTGATAGTTTTGACTAGTTAGTGATTTACCATTTACTCATTAGATTTTTTTTTGTAAAGCAACATTTTCATTGAGCATATAAAGTAATCTCATTACAATTTCAAAAACACTATAAATACATAGCTTTTTAAAAATAAAATAGCATGTAACGTACTGTAGCAAATAACATATGTAATACTGTCATTTCCAAAAGTAATCTATAGTACAGTTGACAATATCAGCAAGACTATAGCTCTTACCTTCCAATTTCATTCCAACACTTAGGCATTTTTGAAATCGACAGTAAGGACACCGCTTTCTCTGCGTCTTGTCAATCTGGCAGTTCTGATTTTCTATACACGTGTACCTTTTGTTATTCTGGACTGTTCGCTTGAAGAATCCCTGTACAACAGATACAAAAGTTAGCCTGTTTTACCTGATTCATATATTTCGGCATTTTATTTTATAGAAATCATGGTAACATATTTTTCAGACACCACTCAAGCACTTGCGAAGTTATATAGTTTATTTTAAATTACAGTGAGATGTACCCAGGAGAAAACCACCAGACTGCAGAGTACTTTTCTTGCGATAGTGCTGTTTTATAGACTTATGTCAAAGCTTGGTAAGACTGGCTGTAGTCTCCTGTGCCCCTAACAGTGGTAGCAGAAATAGTGAGACTGACCAGTTCCTTTTGTATTATTTAATCATAGCAAAATTATTAAAGTCTTCCTTTTGAAGTAGTTTTACATGAAATAAGTAGCGACACTCTTGCAAAGATAACAGAAATAGGGTACCTCTGGCTACTATACACCCCAGTGGTGCCTGTTAGAGGCAAAATAAGTGCTTGTTGTTCATTTCTCATTGATTATTTTTTAATGAAAATGTAATGTGCTAAGTTAATTTTTCCATGCAACTAAATATTTTAAATTGCATTCTGGCAAAGGAATTTCCTTTACAGTGCATTACTTAAATAACAATAAAGACCTTCAAAAAATGTTACATGACAAATCTGCTATGTCATAAATTCATATGTATTTAAACCCTTTAATGTAATAGAACCATGCAGATACATTTATCTTCCAATATGATAAGCTGCATTTACAAATATTTTATTCTCAAAATTAATGAATGATCTGAAACAAATCATACATGAGTTACTGTAACAAAGTGAGCTCTGGCAGTTACAGTTTGTCTGAAAAAAGTGCATGGTCATTATTGTCACCGAAATTTACATTGTAATATTGCAGGATGAAAAAAGAAAGCTGCTTTAGATTTTGCAAAGCTGATCTGTATTGAGGACACTCTTCCTACTTTATCCTCCAGGAAGAGAAATACTCTGAATGTATAAATCAACTGAAATCTATATTTAGGACAGTTAAGGGTGAAAGTTGTTCTAGAGCTACATCACTTTACAACAGCAAAATACTTAAAAGCAACGATAAAACTACAATGCAAACCAGTCCACGTTGTTTCCACTTGTGGAGATGAGGTCTCTCCAAGAGACTTCTAAATCCTAAAGCTTTTTGGTGGTTCATTTTTTTGTGAATGTAACAAGAAACATATCAGGAATAAGTCAAATGATTACACATCTGTTTAATTATATTTTTTCTGCTTATATTTGAAACTATTTTTGTTGTACTTGTGTTTGTATGAAGTAATTAGTACAGAACCTTGCAGCTTTCACAGGTGAGAAGTCCATAATGGTACCCAGACACTTTATCTCCACAGACCGGACACAGTTCCTCAAGGTCTTCATCATAAGAGTAATTCACCATTTTAAACTGAGACACTGGGGAAAGCAGAAATAGCACATTCAGTTAGAATTTATGTTAATAACTCAAATTTTCTGCAACTGTTCTCATTAGGAGAGAAAGTCCACTTAAACCACTGCAAATTGGGAGGGGGGAAGTTTTATTTTTAAAAACACAGCTTGCATTGAGACATGCAACTTTTCATCAACAGCAACTCTGCTCTTAGCAAGTGGAACAAAAAACATCAGCTTCTCGGTTTTATGTTCTATTTATTTATATTTACAGAGTGCCTTTAACCTAGTCCTTAGTTTATAGAATCACAAAATAAATGAATGAATTTAAATTCGAAAATTATCAAGGGCAAGCTTTAAAAAAGCAGAATTTAAAGATTAGGTGTCATTTGTGTATTTAAAGTAACTCAGTTCGTTTCCTTTAAAGTTTTCTTTTGACACCAGCCTGCAAATATTTACTCAGCCTAAACTTGTATCGTACAGACCCAGCACTTTTGCGACGCGTTAAATGCAAGTTACTTACTTGCAAAACCAGGTTAAAACAAGGTCCTCCGCGCCCCCCGACCTGGTTGTCGCGGGGTGACGGCCGCCCCTCCGCGCCAGCCCGCTCTCCCTCCCTCGGCGCTTGCAGC